GCATGTACATTAAACATGTATAGATGAAACATCCAGCCATTTAAAAACTTAAATTCACAAACACTACATATTTTGTATCCTTAAGCCAACAGTTCTGAAGAAAGTACTGAGGCATGAATATCTTACAAATTATGGATTGTAAAATTAATTTAAGTTTGTGTATATGCTATATAAACAATTTCACAAAATTATATGAAACATGGAAGGAATACTAAAGTTAATATATATATAGGTTGAACAAGTCAGAGTAAAAAACAACATTCAAAATAAATATACCTCGATAAAAATGCCGTACGAAAATATGAAACAACCTTAAGCAAGTCCACTTTAAGCACTTGGGAATGGACGTAACATTCACACAAAATCAGATAAGTAAAAACAGCTGCTAGTTATTTAGTATCTGGATACAAATCATATATAAACAAAGAGAAATATATATATCAAATCAATAACTAATTTTAGTCAACACACCTGTTTTGCTCTTTCTACTATTTCTTCCTGTGAGCCAATAGTGGAATCGTAAACAGCTGACAGAGAATGCTGTCTTGTTGTAAACCTATTTGGAAGGTTTTGAAATGCTGTAGGGCTGGACTTGGGAGGTTTTGAGGATCCATGGGATATTGATAGTGCTGTTAAACTAGGCCTAGATGTAGTTGGTGTGTGTCCAGTAGCTGATATTGCAAGTCTTGAGGAAGAAGATGTTAACTGACTAGATGAAGTGAAAGATGCTATAGTCTTCGGCTGGGATCCAAGGTCACCTGCTCCTGGACGCCCTAGTTTTACAATATATTAGTAAGATTATACTATTGCAAGTAAATTAAAAATGTGTAAATCAATTAAGGGCATTCCTCTCACAAATCCAATATAATTCATAAAGTAAAATGTACATGTAAAGCCTCAATCATGGCTAATAGAAAAAAATAGGACTATCTATGTCAAAGAAAAAAACTTCACAATAGTGGCTTATTTTCACTATAAAACTTGGGTAAAAGTACCAAAATAAGAGAGACCTTAATAAGATACCCAATGGTGATGTAATCATGAATGGTTTATGATTTTCAGTTATTATCTACAATAGTATATCAACAGTTACATTTGCACAAATATATATATATTTTATGTTAACACCACACTAGTTAGTCTTACTTTAAACACCATGGCTATAAGGTATAAAAATATTACTTACAGAGGTTTAGAATATACTAATATTTAATTGAAAAGAATCAGTAAATAGCTATAATTCCACAGAAATACAAATTTCACAAGACGTCAACAAAATTAACTGGATTTATGTATTAAATTAGCTTTAAAAATTAAGCAGCTGATAGAGAAATACTATAAAACCCACATATGCTTTAAACTATTGATTTTTATCAAGTAATACTCAGCAAGTCATCTACAGAAAGTATGAGAGTTTATATCTAAAGAATACATAACCATTAAGTGAAACTTTTAACTACTCAGCAAGTCATTCTGCAGAAAGTATGAGAGTTTATATCTAAAGAATACATAACCATTAATTTGAAACTTTTAACTACTCAGCAAGTCATTCTGCAGAAAGTATGAGAGTTTATATCTAAAGAATACATAACCATTAAGTGAAACTTTTAACTACTCAGCAAGTCATTCTGCAGAAAGTATGAGAGTTTATATCTAAAGAATACATAACCATTAAGTGAAACTTTTGACTACCGTTGTTGGCAGAGTCAGAAGTATACATTGGGTACAGAGTTAGAAAGATTTTATTATAAGCAAGAGAGGATCATGGGCCCTATGGATATGAATGGGTCAAGGTGTATTTGGTAGAACTTTCCTATAACCAATATTGATAAGCTTCTTCCATACCTCCGGTCTTTTTAATAAATGTCTATAATTCCCCCTGATATTCCTGTTGGACATGCTTATAAACAAAGAGAAAGAAGCAAATTCCAAACTACATAAATCAGTTTACTGTCTGTTTTCTTTTTACTGGTAAAACCCAATACTTCACTGACTCAGCATGGGCTCGGTCCCTGGGACCGACCTCATAATCATTTTGTGCTTGTTATAGTTTTCATACTATAACTTTTAAATTAGTGAGTGTATGTTAATGAAATAACCTACGTCAAGCAGCAAACAAGTACAAAGGTCATAACTAGAAGAGATAATTGTTTGCTTTACTTCTTTATTTACTCATATATTTTTTAAGAAAAATAAGCTTAAGAACTTATTTCTAAATAGCAATAATCTATATACATATATATAATGTATAATAATTGAAATTTGACTGTATTTTACAAAATACTATACTAAAACACAGCCAAGACAGGCTCTGTGTAAAGACTAAAGGTCAGTTTTATATTATTGGATAACGTAATATGGGTGCACGTGAGCCACGTCATTGTAACTTCTGTATTGTTAGCCAGGCATGGCTGAAAGGTCAATATAAACATTTATATTTTTGTGTTATTGTTTTTATTCTAGAACAAAGGAGGCATAATTTATATTTATTTCCTAATTTTTTATGGTGGTTACAAGATCGGTCAAACATATCAAACCGGTACAGAGATATGTTAGTGAAAATAACAGATACATTACATGTTCTTAAGAAACATTTGATAACTATCTGGACATAAAGATTTTGCATGTGAAATTTGAAAATCGTCTGATGCATGAAAGTAATTTTAATCTTAAAAATGAAAATTACTTTGCATGTTGGATAGGCAACATGGGGAAAAAAAGGCATGAGAGAATCATTGCTAAACAAACCTTAAGACTTAATAATAAAAAAAATTGATATTTTGTGTATGAAAGCATTGTAATTTTTACTGATAATCTGCCAGGCTAAGCCTTTTAAAATTTCACACGTGGAGGATATGAAACGAAATACTTTTTTTAGGTTTTACATATACAGTTGAATAACCAAAAAATCATAAGTTACTATATTAATACCATAGAATTCCATTATAATTTATCAAGCTTAGTAACGAAGCTGTATTTTGGTCTAAAAAATATGAAATTTCTACCTCCTTGAAATCTTGGTTCAAAAGAACGAGATGGCATTCTAACACATGAAATTAGCTGAGAAAACCACTAGGGGGACATTCTGAGCTTTCAAATGATTATACACGTCATATATTGAAGTAAGGGAATATAAGGGACTGTTTCTAAAAATGGAAAGAGGTGAGTGGAGCCATTGTGTTTGAATCAGTACATGAATGATATCTCAGCAAATATAAAAAGAGGTTCTTATTTTATATTCCAGCTTTTCAGTATCAGTAATTTGGGTTCCTAATTCATACAAAACTATAAACTTAATATTTTGATATCATAAACACCTAATTTGAACCATACCATGTGATATACAAGAATTGATGTTTAACTTATTTTTAATATTTCATCATCATCATCATAGACAGCAGTACATCGATA